ACCTGGGCTGAATCCCAGGCTTGACGGGCTTGTGCAGGTAGCTAGAAACAGGGAGGGGACTTAGACCCATCTGTCCTCCATGGGGCAGAGCAATCCTAGTCAAACCCAAGTCTGTGGAATACAGCCAAACAATAGAAAGGGACAAACTACTGACCCAACTATAGTATGGATGATTCTCAAAAACATTATGCTGAGGCAAAGAGAACAGGTGCGAATGAGTTCATACTGTATAATTCCATGCACATGAAGTTCTAGAACAGGTTAACCTAATCAAAACGACAATCAGAACAATGGTTGCCTCTGGGAAGTTGGGAGGGGAAGGGGCAACAGGAACTGGGGGAAGATAGTGACATATTTGACAAGGGCTCGTGTTATGCAGATGTATGTATTTGATGAAATTCACTGTTAACACCTGGGCATTTCATTATGTGGGTATTTTGCCTCAAGAGAAAAGAAAAACAAACTTGTAAATAAATACTAGTTAATGATGCGTATGCTGAAGTGTTTAGAGGGAAGCATAACATTGCACCTTATTTTGAAATGGATATGGGATAAAGCAAATACAGTAAAATGTTATAGAATCCAAGTGGTGAGAATATGGGTGCTACCTGTAAAATTCGTGCAACTTTGATGTATGTTTAACACTTTTTATAATAAAATTTTAGGGAAAAAAACTAAGTCTGATCATATCACTCCTCTGCTCAGACTCCTTCAGTAGCTCTTCATCCATCCCCGAGTAAATGCCCAAGTCCTGACAATGGCCTCCAACAGAATGACAATACATTCTGGTTATCTCAGGTTTCACCTGTTATCTGGGCATAATTATAAATACATCATCCTCTTTCATTCCCCAAGTTTGAATGACAGATTATGTGTCTGCTTTGCCTGTGAGGCCCTTCCTGACCCGACTTCATTTTCCACCATTCTGCATCCCTGCCTCCCTCCCGCTCCAGCCACGCTGACTGACCTCATTCCAGGCACATTGCCCCTCAGGACCTTCGTCTGTTCCATCTGCCCAGAATGCTCTTCCCCCAGATATCTGCATGGCTCTCTCCCTTACCTCCTTCAAATTTTTCATCAAATGTCTCTCATAGGGCCTCTCCTGAGCTCCCTATTTAAAACTGCAATCCACTCTTTTCCCATCTTCCTTGCTCTATTTTTTAAAAAAGTACTTTTAACTCCCTACATATGATATAATTTACTGAATGTAAACTCCATGAAGGCAGGGTGTTTGTTTTGTTTTGTTTTGTTTTGTTTATGCTGTATCCCCAGGGCCTAGGACAGTACCCAGCAAACAGTAAGAGCACAATACACGTTGCTGTGAATAAAGAATTCCCCTCCCTAGTGGTGCTCACAGTCTGGTGCCACAGCAAACACAGACCATCCCAGGGTAATAACTGGGGCTCCACAAAATGGCAGAGGAGGGTACAGGGGGCATGAAAAGAGAGAAACCCCCACCAGGAAGCAGAGGTTTGAAAAACAAGGCATATGCCAGACTTAGAGGGGATGAGAGGGGCACCCCGGCAGAGCAAATAGCATGAGCAAAGCCTTAGAGGACGAAAATCAGTGGTGTGTATTTGAAGGCGATTATAAGTGTTCCAAGGGTAGCTGGGCAGGGTGCAAGTGTCAGAGTGCGGGCTTCACCCTGCGGGTGATGAGAACTGGAGGGTTCTAACCCAGGGCAGCATCGTGAACAGATTTGGGTTTCTGAGACGGCCCATGTGCTGGGCGGAGAATGGATTGGGGGTGGGCAAGAGTGAAGCAGGGAAACCCGCAGGGAACCGCCCAGAAAAGAGTGGGACCCTACACAAAGGGGCAGAGGGGATAGTAACTTAGGACAGAGACTTAACGTGTCATGATAGCACATGGGATTTTGACTCTGACTTCTGGGTGCTCTCATCTTAGCCAATTCTGGTATCATGGAGCCATTTCTTGGCACAGGGTGGTGAAAACAGGTTGGGAGGAGGATGAGGCTCAGGTTTTATGGGACATCCCAGTGGAGAAGTCTTGAAGGCATGTGCTTTGAGTCTGGAAGTAGGAGGCAGAACTTGGAGGCAGAGACTTGAGAACCATTGAGTCAAGGAGTAGGCGGGTCCCAGCAAGGAGAAGAGCGGCATGAAGAAAAGAGCTAGCCCAGGGCAAGAGATATTTAAGGTATTAGGGAGAGGAGAGAGTGGCAGAGGGGAAAAGTGGCACTGGGCCAGGACCCGAGCCAGGGGTAGAGAACAATTACAAAAAGGAAAAATATGGACATTGGGAGGAGGCGGGGTGGGCATGGTAAGGTGATGACTGAGGAATTTGGCTATAGAAAAGGTAGCTTTTAAATCGGGTCAGCCCTGGGTGATGTGGCTCAGTGGACTGCGTGCTGGCCTGCAAATCAGAGGGCCCCTGGTTTGATTCCCAGTCAGGACACATGCCTGGGTTGTGGGCCAGGTCCCTAGTAGGGGGTATGTGGGAAGCAACTGTACATTGATGTTCCTCTCCCACTCTCCTTCTCTTCCTCTCTCTCTAAAAATAAATAAATAAAACCTTTCATAAATAAGTGAATAAACAAACCCAGTCACAAGTAGGGGAGTAGGGGTTGTGTAGCCAGGGCTAAGAAACAGATAAATGCCTGGGGACTGGGACCAGGAGAAGGAGAGAGATTGGGGAGACTCAAGCATTAGCCTTTCAAGGCTGCTCAGAAATGGACTTCTCCTCCCCAGTTTCATTGACAGGCAAGTCTCTGGCCTGTCTCTACACCCTAGTATCCTCATCTGTAAAATGGGGTAACAGGAAAAACAGCTGCCATTTATGAAACACATACTATGTGCCAAGCCAAGTATTCTCTGTCCATGTATTTAATCCTCACAATGGTCTCACTGGGTAGATGTTACTATTCTTCTCATTTTACAGATGAGAAAACTGAGGCACAGAGATGTAAAGTCCTTGTTCAAGTTAACGTAGTGAATGACTGGAGATGCTGATATTCGAACCCAGAGCCCGAATCCTGGGCCATAATACTGTACTACTAACCTATACAAGGCGCTTCCCAGTTTGCAGAGCACTCTCATCACACCATGGGCTGATTGAAGGGAATCATGAGATGACCCACACACCCAGAAAATAGCGGAAATTATTACCACAAATAGTGAGGTTGGATAATGGCCCTCCAAGGATGTCCACACCCTAATTCCAGAACCTGTGACTATGTTACTCTTCCAGGCAAGCGAGATTTTGCAGATATGATTAAGTTAAGGACCTTGAGATGGGAAGATGAGCCTGGATCATCCAGGTGGGCCCAATGTAATCACAAGGGTCCTTATACAATAAAGGGAGGCAGGAGACACAGAAAAGGAGACCTGACAACCAAAGCAGAGAACGAGAGAGTTTGGGAGATGCTACACTGTTGGGTTCTAAGATGGAGGGAGGGGCCACAAGGCAAAAAATCAGGTGGTGTGCAGAAACTGGAAAAGGCAGGGAAACAGATTATCCCTTACAAGCCAGCCCTGCAGACACCTTGACATGTAGCCCATTAAGACTAATTTTGTACTTCTAACCTCTGGATAGTAAGATAATAATTTTGTGTTGTTTTAAGCCACTAACTTTGTACTAATTTGTTACAGCAGCAACAGAAAATGAATACACATCCTTGCACACCTGGACCCCAGGCCAGCCCTGGCTCAGCTACTTATTGCGGCAGCTGAGGTCAGGAAACACCGTCACACTTTCTAATAGTTCTTTCAGTTTCCACTTTGGTCCTCTCTGAGCCTTAATCTCTTCTTTTATTAAAAATAAAAATAGGGCTAATACACCTGACCCTGACTCTCTTGCAGGCACAGAGTGAATGAAAGTGCTTTATATTATTTAAAGATTCCCATAAACACTGGGACAGATGAGGCCTACTTATTTTCCCCACTGCTGAGATGGACACACTACGGCTCAGAGAAGGGAAATGTTCCATGCAGAGCCACACAGTTAGTGAGTAACAGAGCCAGGACTTGTAACAAGATTCTGACTTCAAATCTACCACACTGGCCCTGGCTCAGTGGATTGAGCACCAGCCTGCAAACTGAAATGTCACTGGTTTGACTGCCAATCACGGTGCGTGCGTGGGGTGCAGGCCAGGTCCTTGTTGTGGGGCACATACAGGAGGCAACCAATCGATGTTTCTCTCCCTGTCTTTCTCCCTCCCTTCCCCTCTCTCTAAAAATAAATAAAATCTTTAATAAACAAACAGACAAAAACACACTAAGGTTAATCTCTCAGAGCTCACCTTACATGCCACCTCCTCAGAGAAGCCTTCCTGGATAGCCTCAGACCATTCATTCATTCATTTGCCAAGCAGTTGCTATGACTGCTCTGTGCCCAGTGCCTAAGTACCACGGGGGACCAAGTCTTGCCTCAGGAGCCCACAGCATAGTGAACAAGGCAGACACACAAACCAACCATCCCAAACAGCCTGATAAATGCTGAGATTAAGAGAAGGAAGCACAGAGGGTTGTGAGAAACCAAAAGATGGGGAACTGACTGTGCCTGGGGTGAGGGAAGGCTTCTTGGAGGAGGTGGTGATCGGGCTGGGGACAAGTGAGACTCAACTGAAAGTGTGGGAAGGGGTTCCAGTGGAAGAATGACTAAGCAGAGGCAAGGAGGCACTATATTGTAGCTTCCTGAGGGCAGCAAAGGGGTTGAGTTGTCCCAGGCCCCAAAGGGCCTCCATGTTCCTGTGTACAAATGGGAATTGCCCAGAGCTTTGGTAATTGCTGGGCCCAGGTCCCTGGATTCCCAGAAGAGGGCTGAAGGTCAGGAGTGGTCAAAGGTAAGAGATACAGGGCAAGGTGGAAGGAGTTTGGGTGAGTCGGGGTCCTGGCTCAAGTCCCCATTCTGTATCTGATTCATGGTGTGACTATAGGAAGATCCTCTTAGAGCTTCAGTGACACCATCTGAGAAATGGAGCCTGAGACAAAACTGTCTCCAAAGACCCTCCCCAGCCCCTGACGGGGAAATGACATGACACAAAATTACAAAAGGGTCTTTATTTGTAAAAAGTCAAAGGGGCCCCTGGGGCAACAGGAAAGGCAGACAGGCTTCTCAGGGGTCGGGGGCATTTGGGCAGATGCGCTTGAGTGGGGGGGCGCCCTCCAAGTCCTCTGTGTCACCCTGGGCTGCCTCGGGGACAGGTGGCACTGGCTCAAAGACAGGGTAAGCTTCAGGGGCCTGGAGAGGAAGGGTGGACAGGCGTGAGCTCCACCCAAACCCAGGAGGGCAGCCTCCTAGCCTCTGCCTTCTCCAAAGCTTCCACTCCACTCCCCTCCCGGACCCAGGAGTCTAGCCTAGAGCCAGGGACCCGGGATGCAGATTAAGTAGGGCACCAGAAACAATACTGTTTTGGGGAAGGGAGTTGATATTTAACATTTCTGGGAAATGCATCAAAGTAGTCCTTGTGGGAAAAGTTAGAAAAGTTTATGGGGGACTTTCTTAAGCTAATTGTATAGTTTAGGATTTAAACAAATAACACTTACAGGAGCACCATGATCTTTTGGGCTTTCAATGGTCTTAAAACAGCCCTGATCCAGCCCGCAGGACTTTGTTTCTGAAACACCCTTTCCTTTTTAGTCCCGAGAACCCAGCTCTATGCTTCCACTGAATCTGAGGTCTGCATTTCCCACCTGGACCTCAAGAGTGCATCCCCCAAGCCTCTGGCTGCCCCAGAGCCCCATTCCCTCCGAGACCCAGGAGTTCAGCCTTCTGGCCTCTCTCACCTCAGCCTCCAGCAATTCTGGAACAGGCTCCTCCTTGGTCAGCATTGGGGGTTCATCGGTGCTGCCTGCTGTTATACCCCCAGGATCTGGAATGTCAAGGTAACAGACATTCCCTGAGCAGCTGCCCCATGCCATAGCACAGACCAGGGGGAAACACACACCAGTCACGTGAGCCCCCGGGCTGTGGGAGCACTGAGGAGGGAGACGAGCACCTGGCTGCAATCCAGGAAAGACATGGGAGGGACATTTAGGTAGGATCTTGACAGATGAGGAGGATTTGATCAGGTAGACGGATTGGGAAGTGGAGCACAATTTAGGAAGAGGGAAAATATTCTTAGGGAACACAGATTCTGGGGTTGTACTCTGTGGGTTCAAATCCTAAACTTGAGCAAGGGACTTAATTCCCCTGGGCCTCAGTTTCCCTATCTGTAAAATGTGGATAAGTATAGTAATTACCACAGAAAACTGTTGAGAGAATTAAATGAGATAATATAGGTAAAGCCCTTCGCATAGTGTCTGGCCCATAGTTAAGTACTCAGTAAATGCCAGTTAGTTTCTGCATCAGTAAAGGTGCAGAAGTACATGGCACCATCTAGACACAGCCATAGGCCCCAATCACGGTGTTCCTGCAGGGAGCAAGGAGGTCAGGAGGGAACAGTTCACAAAGGGCGCAGAGTGCCGGGCGCAGAGTGCCAGGCTGCAGTGATAAAGGCCATGGGGAGCCCCTGCAGGCTTTGAGCAGGAAAATGACCATCAGTTGTGTGGAGGGGACTGGGAGGAAGGAGACCTACAAGAAGGCTGGAACCAGGTGAAGGTGAGAGATGACAGAGCCTGAGGAGGGGAAGGAAGGTGGGCAATGTTGGGAGACAGTACTGACCAAGTAGGGGATTGACTCTATGGAAGAAAGAGAAGCTAAGGAAGACTCATGCCCAACACGCTGGCTCACTGGCTGTGTAAGCTGGGGCAACTTACTTAGCTGCTCTGGGTTTCAGTTTCTCATCTATAAACAGTGATAGCAACGCTCGCAGGATTGTAGTAGGGGTTAAATGAGATAAAATAAAACATGTAAAATGCTTAGAAGAGTGCCAGGCACACAGTAGAAGCTCAGTAAGTATTAGCTGTTATTATCACTTATTATTAATGACTCTTAGAATTATCACTGTTATTTATGTCTCAGCAAATATTTACTGAGCACCTACTATGTGCTGCATGGTGTTCTGAAAACACAATGGCAAACAAGATCAATACAGACCCAACATTCAGGAAGCTAACAGGAGGTGGGAGTAGGGGGAAAAGATACTTAGGTAGTAAAAATTAAATTTACATGAAAATCCCAGGCAGTGATAAGTTATTAACAGACCAGAAGAAGTCAAGAGGAAGAAGACAGTCACTAGAAGTAGGGCAGTGATCTTCCACAGGAGTCACTGAAGGCCTCCTGAGGAGACGACACAGGAGTGGGAACAGGTATGGGGATAAGCTGGTAGCTTCAGCTTGGGAGAGGACAAGATGCAGAGGGGAGGGCTCCTGGGAGGCACCTGGTCCTACCTCTCTCCTGGCCTAGCCGTGGAGGCTGAGCTTCCTCTGGGACCCCTTCTGGTGGTCCAGAAGGTGACGCAGGGCGGCTGGGCTGGGGGGTACCACCAGGGCTGGGCTCAGTGCCCTTCTGCAGGGAGCCTTCCGAATGGAAACTCTGGTTACTATTCTCATCTGTGAGAGCAAAAGTTGAAAGGGTTGGGCCTGAGGTCCCCAGTCTCCTCCTTCAATCCCATAGCGCCCCACCGCAAGTCCCAGGATCCCTACATACCATTGAGATCAAGCAGGATGAGAGGGCCACCCCCTCGGGGGCTGGCACCCCTGCCCCGACGATCCCGGCCTCGGGATCTCTCTGCCCCGCCACCTGCCCTCCTTCGCTCCTGGGGATAAGAGGGGCAAGGATCAGTTTGCGCTTGCAGAACCCCCACTCTACAAATAAGTAAACCGAGGCACAAAGAAGCAAAAGGCCCTGCATGAGGTGATAGAGGTGGTGCACACTGGGTATAAGGTCTTGAATTCTGGGGTCTGGAGGTGGAAAAAAGGAGAAGGGGTGGAGTTGCCAATAATTGTTAACATGTGTCTGGGCTGCTGTATTTGAGGTCTCAGAGTGGGGACTGGAGGTGGAGGCCAGGATGGGGAGGGGCTTGCCTGGGGTTGCACAGATGCAGGGTCTGGTGTGGGGGTGCTTGCTCACCTCCTCCTGGGGGTCCACCACGGGCACCCACTTGAAGATACGAAGGGAAGTGTCGCCCACAGTCACCCAGCGCTTCTCCCTGTGGGAGAGTGGGGGACTAGGTCAGAAGGGCCTGAGTTGAGAGCCCCCCTCAGCAGCTAGACACATCTGGGGATACCTGCAGAGATGGGGGTGGTCCATAGGGAAGGGGCAGTTTTGCTAATGGGGCATAGTTAGAGGGAGAAAGAGAGCTCTGCAGACCCCAGGGCATACATGGGGGCGTATGTCCCTCTCTCTCTAGTGAGAGAGAGGCTTGGGGCCGCGGCTCACAAACCCCTGGGGTATACTGGGGCACATGCCTACGGGTCTGGCTTGAAATCCGGACATACTTTCTGGAGAAGTGTCAGAGCTTTAGGAGGTGGGGAATAAATGGGGGGCTCCTGCTCTGGGAGGGCACCGCTGGGGAACAAGCTTTGTAGACTCCAGGGTGTAGCCAGGAGAAGAGGGACAGAGCCCTGCAGAACCAGGGCGCAGCTGGGGGGCACTCCTAACACCTGGGGCCACAGCTGGTGAAAGGAGGATAGACGCCTTTAGAGGGGGAGTGGCCCCGCCACGTCCCGTCCCTGGCCCCGGGACTGAGCTCACCATCTCCGGACCTTCTCGATGGTCGCCATCACCTTCTTGATGTCATCCTTGGCCCGGCTCCGGGTCTCAGCCCGCACGGTCCGGCCGGCCATGCTGGCGGGGCTGGGGCCGAGACCGAGCCCGCGGCTGGGCCGCCTCCCGTCCGGCGGGCTGAGGCTCGGCGCCAGGCCGGGTCGCCGTTCTCTCAGCCAGACGTCCCTCCGGGAGTTGGCCGCGCCCTCCCTCTCTCCCCAGCGCCTCCGCGAGTCCCCGCCCCGCTTCCTGCCGCCGCGCCCCGCCCCGCCCCGTCCCCGAAGCTGCCTTAAAACGCAGACCGCCAGAACCAGGCCTGGAAGCCCGCCAGCCCCGCCCCTCCCCGGCCCGCCCCCTCGGGGCGCCCAGACACGCAGCGCCCCCTGCCCGCCGCCCAAAGGGAGGTTGGGGGTAGCTCCGCGGCTGGACGCGCGCGGCAGGGCTGGAGGTTCGTTCAAGACCACGTGGGCTGGGAGAGCTAGAGAGACTGTGTCCGGGTGTGCGTCCGCTGCGCGTGGGCGTCCCTGAAACGCGCGCATGCCTGTGTGTGTGTGTGTGTGTGTGTGTGTGTGCGCGCGCGCGCGCGTGTGTGTCCACCCTCACCAGGGTCTAGGTCTACACTGTCCAACTATTTCTTCACCCATTCATTTAACAGTCTATTAACTGCGTGCCAAGTACGTGCCAGACACTGGATCTCCACCCACCAGAACAGCTTAACTGAGGATGACAGACCGCACCAAGGGTAGACGAAGAAGAAGTAGAGCGACTGGACCTCTCATATTTCTGGGAAGTGTAAATTCTGAGACACCTTGGAAAGCACAGTTTTCGATTGAAGCCCAAAATACACCCCAACATTATGACCCAGCAATTCCACTCCTACATCATCAACACCCAACAGAAAAGCGTAGTTATGAGCACCAAGTGAGATGTACTGGGATGTTCATAGTACTATTTATAACAGCCTCAAACTGGAAACAACCCATCAAAGGAAAGTGGAAAAGGAGCTGTAGCCTATTCACACCTTGGACACAGAAAGGAGCATGATGTCCCGCTGCATCCAACAAGGGGGACAAGTCTCACGAAAGAAGTCAGATACAACTGTACACACTGTGTGATTCTGTTTACATGATGTTCCAAACAGACAAAACTAATTTATGGTGTGAGAAATCAGGATAAGGGACACCTTGGGACTGCGAGGGGATAAGAGGGGGCTCTGGGAACTGGTTGTGTTCTGTTTCTTAATCTGGTGCTGGTTCCTTGGGCATATTTACTCTTAAAAATTCATGGATGTTTGCACTTTTCCCTATGTATATTATACTTCAAGTAAAACTTTATTTTAAATGAGCATGTCTCGGTTGATATGATGCTGTTTGCCAGCAGATATGACATGTATTAACTTGTGTTGCTGTGTGTGTGTGTTTTGATGTGACTGTCCACAGAGGTTAAGGTATAGGAAGATGGTTATGACAGCATTTTTGGAGCCAGACTGCTGGGGTAAAATCCCACCTCTGCTTATCCATTGACTCTGGATAAGTCACTTGTCTCTAATTCCTCAGCTATAACATAGGAGTGAGTTAGTAAGCATATAGCTCTTTGAACAGTGCCTTGCATATAGTAAATACCCAATAAATATTTGCTGTTAATAAGTATGTGATTGTGGCCCCTACCAACAATCTGGCTTCATGAATTTTAACTGCTGTGCCCTCTGCCAGCAATCCCTTTCTTCCTTTATTCTGGCAATACCTTCACAGACACCCAGGCCTCCTTCCCAGTCCCTTCTCTCACATTGCCTGCTGTTGTCTGTAGTCTCCCCCATCAGACTGTAAGCTCCTCAAGGAATCAGAGAGCAAGTATGGATCACCTCTGAGTCCCAGAGCCCAGGACAAAGTAGGCATTTGTCTGCACTAGGTTAGTGGAGGTTACGTCAGTAAGATACCCCACTCTGTACCTGTCTCTGTAGCTTGATCCTGGGTGAGAATTAGTCTGTATGCAGTAGAAGTGGGTGTCAGAAGGGTTCCCTTACTGAGCCCAGTAAAGTGAGATGAGCTGGTGTATCAGTCCTGCTCCCAGTAAGTGGAAGGAGACAGAGAGCAAAAAGTATCTTAAGATAGGCCTGGAGGTGTATGTCTGGGCAGGTGCAGCCCAAGCCTTAGGGCCTTTTCTCGCCTCTCTCAAACTCCCTCTCCCCCTCCTTCCCAACCAAGAAAGAGAGCCGGCACATTCCTGTCCTGCCAGCTCCACCCTCTCCTATCTCCCCAGTTTTCTCCGAAAAGCAGCCCAGGAGCCAAGTCTTGCCCCAGATCCGAGCCTGAGCCTCCTACTTCTGACGTGTTGCAGGGCTACCTCCCAGGCCTAGGCGCCGCCAGCAATGAGGTCCCAAGTCCACCATACCGACAACCTGCCGACCCCCTCAGGGCCCCTTTCTCGACTAGGGAGCGCAGGCAGTGAACTAAGCTCAGGGACAAGGAAAGTTGCCTGGGGCGGGGGAATTTGGGGGGGGTTGAGCCCTGATTGGCTGCGCTCGGGCCCGCCCCTACCCCTTTCCCCCTTCTCCCTCCTTGGAAGGGGGGCGTGGAGGCAACCGGGATCAGCCTGGGGCCAGCATGAGCCGGAGGGAGGGAAGTCTGGGTAAGGGACTGAAGGGCAGATGCCGAGTGCCCAGGGGGAGCAGTGGTCAGAAGGGCTGGAAACTGGGGTCTGGGCCCTGCTACCTCCGGGTCCGGGAAGGGAGCGGCCTGGGGGGCGGGGGGGAGAGCAGGGCCCGGGTGTCAGGTAACGAGCGGTGAGCTGTTGTAGAGCTGTGGGAAGGTGCTAACGCCAGAGTTCAGAGGAGGCCTGGGGCAGTGCTTCAGGTACATAGTCTCTGGGATTAGATCACGGGTTCGAGTACACCCTGGGGGAGGACTGGGGTCGTGGCTGAGGCTGTAGGACTAGACCCTCTTTTGAGTTTTGGGAAAGAATCAGACTGGGGGCCAGAGGGAGGGGTAGAGTTAGGAGAGGAAGTCTTTTGGCCACAGGAGATAGTGAATGACAACGGGAGACGAAAGTCAAGGCTGATGAGGATGGGAATAGGCGGTGGGAAACTCAAACCCGGTGGAGGTGGTGTGGGGCGGGAGTTGCGGAGCTATGACTACATCCCCCAGAATGCCTTGGGCGCGTGCGCGGGGTGTCTCGGGAAATGTAGTCCTCTTAGGGCACCACCCTACAGCTTGTGCTAAGCAAGACTGATCACTCATACGTTGATGCTGCCTGGTGCCCAGCTCTGGGCCTTGCGCAAAAAAGCTACCGGAGAGGAAATGGTACTTCAGTCTCCCAGTCTGTAAACTGAACTGAAAGGTACATTCCGATTTGAAGTTCTGTGCTTTCGTGAGGTTGAATTCCACCAACAATCACAGAGGTACAGAGATATGTGAGCCTTACCATCAAAGGGCTTCCAGGATGAAACCAATTCCCACAGATAAAAGAGCTATTAAAATAACTACCTTGGAAGTATGAAGAAAAGGCCTTAAGTAGAAAGAAGAAGTTAATTTAAGAGAGGGGTGAATCTGAGGCTGCCCTGAGGAGGCAGTATTTGAATTTGGCTTTAATAATAACATTCCAATAGTGAATTGAGGACAGGAAACATTTCATGTAGAACAACCATTTGGCAAATGTCTGGTGCCTCATTTTCCCTCAGTTGGAATGGAGCAGAGCCTGCCTGGCTTAAAAGTTGGGGAATTCAAAGCTGAGCTTCTGGGTTCAGGAAGAAAGTGGTCAGGAGTAGGGGTTTGGGTTACCCTCATTCTTCCCCCCCCCTTTTCCCACCAGAAAACCCCCAGGCTGACTCCTCAGTCTCATCCCTTCCCCTCTTGGAGGCCAAGATCCATCAGACACACAGCCTTGCCCGCCTCCTCACCAAATATGCTGAGCAACTGCTCCAGGAATATGTGAGTGTGGATGGATATGGGGGTGCCAGAAGCCTGGGGGACAGGGAAGTACAAATCACAGGGTTTCCTGACTACCAGTTTTTCTCAACCCCATTTCCCAGCTGCAGAAATTGGGGCTCCGAGATGAATCAGTAACTTGGCTCTGGCCACTGAGCAAATTGGAGGAGGACCTTCTTTATGCCCCAAATGCCCCTCTGTCCACCTCTGCTTGGAGGCTCCCTCCTTGGTGCTTTACGACAGAGGCAACCTGAGAATGAAGAGATCTCTGGTCTGAGAGACAAGAAACCTAGCTTCTAGGCTCTGTGTGGTTTTGTCACCTCACCTCCATGGGCCTTGGTCTCCCCAGCTGTAAAACAAGGAAGTTGTACAAGATAAGCTGCGAACTCTTCTACCTGTGCTATGCAGAGAGGCCAAGAAAGGTTTTCAACCTGTGACAAAAATTCCATCCCAAGAGGGGACTTTTACAAAGGGGGGGGATCTGCCAACATCTTTGGTTGGATAGAGGGCCCTGCTCAAGGAAAGAAGGAATTTTCCCAAATTATTCTGGTGTAGTGGATGAACATTATGGTTTCAAATCAGGCAAACAGTGGGCCTGACACATTGCTGTGACTTTGGGCAGGAGTGATAACACTAAAATAGTGATGTAACAACTATGACAGCATGTAGTGGGATAATAGAGCTAGCTTTGTAGTCCTACCAACTTTGGTTCAAATTCCAGCTCTGTCCCTTCCTAGATGGGTGGCCTAAGTCAAGTCACTGTATTTCTTCAGCCCCAACGTGCTCATTTTCAAAATCATCATCATTACCATCACACCCATTATTGCGAAGATTAGGAGTAGTGTAGTGTGTATAAACCAGCAAGCACAATGCCTGAGCCAGCGGCAAGGTGTTAGAAAAGAATAAATGGCATTGTTCTAGCAGTTTTCCAAATTATGAATCACCTTTAGCTTTTGTTTGCTTATTCATATGACAGTTATTCATGGAGCCCCTGCTGTGTGCCAGGCAGATGCAGAGGTGAGCAAGGATGAAGGGAGAGAGTGAAACATACTAGTTAATGCACTATCTTATGGAGATCTCTGGTTGGAAGACAGGACAGGGAGCTGTTCCCGGGCCCCCTCCGGCCCCCATTTTACAGAAGACTGAGGCTCAGAGAAGGAAAATGGTTTTGTAAGAAACGGAACAGGTAGTAGAAACAGGATTGCAACCTAGTGCATAAGATAGCATTAATAAAAGAGCTATCATTTATTATGTCTTTCCTCTGGGCCAGGACCTGCCTTAAGCTTTTGAACATGCTCATAAACTACGTTTTGAAGTTGATAGTGTTGTTATCTTCCCTTTAGAGAAGAGGAAACAGGCACTTTTTTGTTGTTTTGTATTACCTCAAACACAGCAGCTCTGTTAGGAATTTGTCCTTTGCGAGATGGAGATACTGAGGCCCCAGGTGACAGGAGGAGTTCCGAGAGTCCCGCTGACGGCCCTGTTTCCACAGGTGCAACACCAGGGAGACCCCTTCGGGCTGCCGGGCTTCTCTCCTCCGCGGATGCCTGTGGTGGGCTTGAGCGCTCCGGCACCGGGCCACGAGGGCCTGCAGGCGCCCGAGCGGCTGCAGCTGGACGCCCGGGCACTGGCCGCGCTGCCACCGCTGCTCGACGTGGTGCGCCGCCTGCAGGCCGAGCTGAACCCGCGCGCGCCGCGGTTGCTGCGGCGCCTGGAGGACGCGGCGCGCCAGGCCCGGGCCCTGAGCGCCGCGGTAGAGGCAGTTCTGACTGCGCTGGGGGCCGAGCCCCGCGGGCCCTGGCCCGAGCCCGCCGCCGCCGCCACAGCCGCTGCTACCGCCGCCGGCGTCTTTCCCGCCAAGGTGCTGGGGCTCCGCGTGTGCGGCCTCTATCACGAGTGGGTGAGCCGCACCGAAGCCGACTTGGGCCAGCTGGTGCCCGGGGGCCCCTCCTGAGCGCGGGCGCGGCCCTCAGTTCTCTGACACCTTCTCCTCACCTGTCTTCATCTCTCCATCTCTCTCAGTGTCTCCATCTCTCTGTCTCTGTCTGTTGTCTCTCTTTGCGTTGTATGCTCTATCTCATTTTTCTCTAGGGACCTTCTTGTCTCCATAGTGACTTTCCATGTCTATCATATTCTTGCTTTCTCCCTCTTTTCTCCATCGCTTGAGTCTGCCTAAGTCTCTCTTGGTCCCCCCTTTACCCATTTCTGGGGGGGCACTCTGTACCCCCTTTTCCTCTCTTATCTCCTTTTAGCCCCATATAAGCACATGTACAGCTCAGCCTCATCTCAAGAAGGGGACACCTTGTCACTGTTTCCCTCTGTCCCTCTCCCTTTCCCCAGAGTCATTTCGCCTGCTGCCCTCTCCCTCCCCCATCCCATCCCTGCCCTCTCTCCCTTTCATGCCCTTCCCCTCCTTCACTTCCCTCTGCCCTATTCTTGCATCTCCTCTTCCCCCAAACCAGGTCTGTGAAGAGAAACACTTTACACCTTAAAAGAGTTTCATTTCTGATAATAAATCTTTTTTTTGTAAATAAAGTGTTAAAAAAGATAAAAAGAACACAAAAGTTACCAGTATATATACTTGTTGAAAGTGGGGAGACACCTTTGAGAAGAATAGGATCCTTGGGGTATAGCCTGGCCCCTGAGACATACCCAAAAGCCACAGTATAAATAGGGTATTCCTGAGAGACCCGGGCCAGGGATGCCATCTGTCAGCCCAGAACAGGAATGAATGTGTGCTGATCAGGAAACAGATGTGGCATGAATCCTTAGTTTTTTTAAGAATTGAACTTCCATTGATCAGGAAGTAAAGCCCCTTAAGATGGGAAGTTGTAACAGTGGCACAGTCAGAAAAGGAGACTAGGGGAGGAAATGAACTCCAGCAAGAAGAGAGGCCCGCCTGCTCCACAAAGTCCGTATCTTCAGACAGGAAGTGAGGTAGACAGAGACATGAAGGTAGCCCTTGGACCTTCCCAAAATTACAGGAAGGGGAAGGTCTCAAGGAGAGCCTAGAAAGGAGACCAACTGTTTGTTCCCCATAGAGTGGAAGTGAAGCCTCTTCAAAGAGGCATTTCTCTCCACCCAGGAAGTAGGCAACTAGTATCACTGGATTGGTAACTCATGAAATGATATCCATGGAATCCCACCCAGATCTGGAAGGGAAGCCTTAGTTAGGACCTAGGCAGGAAGGCCGAGGCAATAGGGCATTGAGGCCTGTTTCCCAAGAAATGTTCCCCAAACATGGCACACAAACCCCATCTGCTAGACAAGATGTGTTTTCTTTCTAGTGAAGAAGCAAGGCAGAAAAGAATCCATTGTGACAGGAGAAATATTGCAGCCTCTGATAGGAAGTCCTACCTCATCTATCCAGGGTACTTGGCCTTGAGCAGAGCCAAGTCTCTCACAGCTCTGTCTGTCCAGTAGCCATATTCCCGGGTCACTACATAGCCTCGACATTTCCTCTCGAAGGCTGAGGCTCCAAAGGAGACAAGCCCAAGAGTGTCCTCTTCAGGGGGCATGGGCAGGCCCAGGGCAGTCGTGATGGCAGCCATGTTGCCCAACAGGCCTTGGGCCCTGAGTCTCGCAGCCCTGAGCTGAGCCAGCAGGATAGGACTGCCAGAGTTCAGGCTGCTTTGGTCATCCCCCACGAGCTGGAGGTGCTGGGTCAAAGCCAAGAAGTCCCCCTGGGCATGGCCCAGCCGCTCCCCATCATCCAAGGCATGCCAGGTCTTGAAGGAGACAGTGGTAGGTGGCAGGCTGCTCAGCTGGAGCTCAGGTGCTGAGAAGCCAGGGTCACTAAAAGGGCTGCCCTGGTACTGGAGCTGCATGAGGGACAGAGATAGGAGTGAGGGGACCAAAGGGGTACCCTGAGACTCCCTGTGATTTCACATTTGCCTTTTACAAGACCAGCATCTTCCCAGGGGGAGGTGCTATCCTCTACCCTTCAGAGAGTTGGTGGGATGTCCTAGCACAGAGCCTGGGCTCTATTGGGTTCCAACTTAATTTCCTCCATACACAAGTTGTACAACTTTGAATCACAGCTTCAGTAATCCCTATGTGGCAATATTATTGTGAGATGATAAGAAGTAATATATATAAAGCTCTTAGTACGGCACCTGGTGTACAATAAGAGCATGATAAGCCACCATTAATGGATAATAATATTAATATGAGCACAGATTATAGTAATTACTATATTATAATATTTTCAATCTGAATATATTATTGACAATATAGTTATAACCATGTATATTTCTTTTTTATTTATAGCATTTAGTTGTTTATGTTGGTTGATTTTACTATAATCATTGAGAAGTAATTATTAAGATTATAAAATTTAGTTGAGTGCCTTTCTCATTAAAGTCCTTACCTCCACAAACCTAGACCCACAGAATCTTACTGCACACTGATAAATTCCCTCACAGATAGGTCACCTAGTTGCACATCCCCATTGTACAGGTGGAGAAGCAGGCTTAGGGTACCCCAAACTATCCATGGAATGGTAGCAGGTATGGGACTAGAAACTAGATTTAGTGACTCCACATGGGCCTGGAATATAGGACAGGGGGAGAGTCACAAACTCTAGAGGTCCAGGGGCCAGACAGATGGTGTAACTCGGGGAAGAAAGGAAGACTAAGATGGACGGGGGTGGGGGCGCAGGGGCTTTGATCAATGGGATCCCTGTGTCTACTTTAGACAGGCATTCATATTCCAAATTGAACAAGCACTGCATGGCTCAAACAGAAAACATCTGTTGGTCAGACCCAGCCAATAGGCTGTCAGTCTGAACTTCTAGACAGTTGGGGGACTTGGGGAGAATTGGCAGGAATTGGCATCGAATGTCACAGACCTGGTTTAAGATCCTGGCACTGTCAGTTATTAGCCGTACGACCTCCGGCAAACTATTCACGCTCTCTCAGACTCAGTTTTCTTATCTGTAAAGTGAATTATAACACTATGTCTCAGAACTTGCTGGGGAGTCAGTAGGATAATGAGAGAGAGTGCTCAGCATGGCAGAAGGATCAAATGCTTGTGGAAATAATTGTGACCCGGTAAAGCCCTTCCCTCTGCATGCTTCCTTTGAATCTCCTAACAGTCCTGACAGGTCAGCAAAGGGGGGGATCACCATCCCATTCTGCAGATGAGGAAGCTGACACTGAGAAAGAATGACTTACCCAGGATCACCAACCATCAGTGACAGTGTTCATGTGGGTGAGACTCTAGTTGACAGATCCACTGTACCCTCGGACCCATGGAGGAAACTCCTCCTAGCCTTGCTCTGTTTCCCCTGTCCAGGGCTGGACAGGGAAGGCAGTGTTCCTCTCCCCTCGTCCCCTCTCGTGCCCAGTATCACTCACATAAGTCTGCAGCAGCATTGATGTGTTCTTCTGCATGTAGAGGGCCAGGCTATAGGCTTGACTGATGGGCTCAGCTGGGGAAGAGGGGGCCCCCAAACTGAGGGGTGGCAGCAGCAGGGTCAACAGGCAGAGAGGGGCTAGCAGAAGAAATCAGAGGTCAGACCCTTGCCCCTGACCCTGTCTACTGATTCATTTATTTCTCATAACAGCTCAAATGGGTACAGCCCTTGTGGCCTACAACAACCCTGTACATCCAAGTCAGGGCAGAATCACCCTGAAAGTAGATTTCCAGTCCAGAAGATTCCCTTCAACTCCAGACCCATGTATTCAACTTCCTTCTTGACATTATCCCTTAGATACTAATAAGCATCTCAAACTCAAACTATCCACTACCCATCTCTTCTCCCATCTCTGGAAAGAGCACTTCCATTCTTCCAGTTGCTCAGGTCAAAGCCATGGGGTCCTCTTTGAGGCCTTCCTCTCCACATTCAGCCCCACAGTAAACCCTGTTGGCTCTGTCCTTAAAAGGTAGCTGGCTACTCCCTGAATCCCAGCTGCCAGCACCTCTCACCTGACCATTTACAGTGGCCTCCCCACTGGTCTCTGCTTCCACCCTTGCCCCTGCCCTCCCTGCTGTAACCCCTCAAGTCCAACCCCTTAGATCACTCCCCTGCCTGAACCCTCCCGTGGCTCCCACCTCACACAGAGTGAAAGCCAAAATGCTCAGTGTGGCCTAGAAGGCCTGGCCCCTCTTCACTGGCCTCCATTCTGTTCTGCAGCATTCTCCTTAGCCTGCCGGGACCACCCCCAAACCTTCCCAAGGCTGGCTCCTTCTTGTACTTCAGGCTGCAACTCATATATCAAAAGCCTCAACCTCTCCCAGATTTTTAGTCTTCACAGACTTGTGCTATGTGCAGCTACCTCATTTATTTGTTTGTCTACATGCTTGTCGCTGTCTCTGCCCCTAGAATGTTGGCTCCAGGAAAGAGGCAACCACACCTGATTTCCCAGTGCTTGGCACAGGGCTTAGTATTTGTCCAATGAATGAAGGGCTACCATGAACATCCTTCTCCCAGCCTCTGTGGGCACTTTTAAAAGTGGAAATATCTGGACTGGAGGGTATGCTTGTTTTCGATTTCAGTAAATGCTGCCGAATTGTCCTCTCAAAGGTCAAACCCAGTTTATGTTCCCACCAACGGTGTAAGGCTCAGAGGCAGGGGAGTTATTAAGGTTGCCAGAAGAAAACAATGGAGATGAGAGGCAAACCAGGATGGCCTCCTCTATTCTCCTTTCTAGATTCCTGTGTTCCCAGAAGTTCAGAACTTAAGAGAAGGCCGAACGTGAAGGCTCATTCGTTCATGAATCCATTCAACAAACCTGGATTGTTGTACTTACCTTCTATCATGGCATTCTAATTTACTTATTTATTACATGCACGACTACTGTCTGTGTGCAGAATAAAATCTCCATGTGACCATAGATTTTTGTCTGTTTGTTCACTGCTCTATCACCAAATGCTTAGATTATTTTTTTAGATTTTATTTATTTATTTATTTATTTATAGAGAGAGGGGAAAGGAAGGAGAAAGAGAGAGATACAACAATGTGTGGTTGCCTCTCATGCACCCCCTTCTGGGGACCTGACCTGCAACCTAGGCCTGTGCCCTGACTGGGAATCAAAAGGGCAACCCTTGGGTTCACAGGTCGGCACTCAATCCACTGAGCCACACCAGACAGGACCAAATTCTTAGGTTATTATCTAGTACAAAATAAGCACTTCAAAAACTACTTCTTGAATGAATGGATGGATTAATTAATTAATGATGAATGAAGCCTTCTGTGTGTAAGAATTTGGTGTTTCCCAGCAGATGCAAAAATAGCCAGGCACAGTTGGGCCAGAAGGCCCAGGCATTGCCCCCTTTGAGACCTCCTGGTCTTTGGGGCCTTGGTGCCCCGTCCCCCTCACTCACCCAGCAAACAACTCATGCTCTCTCCTTGGCTCCTTCCTCTCTGCAGTCTCTGGGTCATTCTGGGCACCTGTCCTGTCCCTCAGATGGCTTTATACCTGGGGTGAGCCCTGGAGCTGCCCAAGGGGGAGGGAAGGAGTCACATGGGGGAGAAGAGGAGATGCAGAAGCTCCAGAGGCAGGGAAGGGGACACTGAGGTGACACACTAGTACCTTACAGCCCCCAAACTCAACTTTAAACCCTGGATGCTGGGAGGGCGGGGGTATGGGCAGGGAGGGATTATGGGGGACAAAGGGGACGTCCTGCTCCCTGCAGCTCTTCACGTCCCAGGATCCAGTTTCCCATGAGGAGGAGGCTGCCTGCTCTGCCCCACAGGGACCCAGGCATTGGGCCCTGGCTTCAGAGGAGTTTGGAAAAAGGACAGGATGGATGTCCTGTGAGCAATACCACCTGCACCCAGGTGCACTCTTAGATGTGCTCACATCTACACATATGTTGGTACATGGGCACACACCAGGCATGTGCACACACACACTTTCATGCATGCATGCATGCATGCATTCATTCATTCATTCAAGTATTTATTGACAACCACTGGGTGCTGGCCCCTGTTTGAAGTGTTGAAATAGAGCAGAGAACAAGTCAGACAAAAGTCCTTGCCCTCGTGGCACCAACACTCCATACCTACACACATGTTGTCACACGTACACCCAGCCAGACCTGCACACATTGCACAGGGAGAGCCTGTGTACAGAGGAGTACACAGGTGTCCACACAAAAGCGCAGATGTGTGAGTGCATAGCCACAACAGGAGGTCCTGCCAGAGGTGCATTCACACAGCAAACATATACATACATGGGTGTATACACACCATGGCCAAGTGTGTGCACACAGACACATCTGCAGCTGGGGGGCAGGAGTCCTGAAATCTAAACACATCTTAGTCTTTGCTGTCCCGGGAGATCTTGGGCCAATGGTTGTTGTCCGTCCAGGCACAGCACACACCGACACACAGACATGTATCTAAAGCCCTCCCTTGTCTGGGCCTTACGGCAGAGGGGTGGGTAGGGAGACAGGTGTTAGATCTGGTCCCTCTCCAGAGCTTTCCAATCTCTTCATAAGGGATCACTGTTCCATTCTCAGCCCCTGCCTACCTGCTGAGTCAGAGAGTGTCAGTCAGAACCCCACCCTGCTTCCATCTTGTGGGTGACTGAAATATTACTCTACCTTCCCTCATTCTTTGGGGCTGGTGTGGAGGGAGAAAGCCCATATCCTTTCTGCTTAGGCAGGAGATACGTATGTTCACTCATCCACCCATGTATACATGCCATCAGCAGATTTTGATGGAGGCCCTGCTGTGTGCTGGCACTGGAGGGGAACAGTCAGGCAGGCCAGGCCCCTTCTGGGCACCCAGTCCAGTGGTTTAGGCAAACAATAAACATATGAACTGATTGAAAAAATTCCTAAAGCAACAATGCTCAGAAGATGCCAATATAGGCGGATGTGATTAGCTGGGGGTCAAGGAGACTTAGATAAGGAGACTAAGGCCCAGAGAGGGATGGCTACTTACATGGACTCACATAGCAAGTCCAGGACAGATCCTACACTCCTGTCCCTAGCACAGGACTGGATCTGGGGTGTCCTTGGCCTGAACTGTGAGCTGAAGGAGAAAAGAGGTTGAGAAAAAGATGGGTTCTGAGGTGAGGGATTCTAAATTGAGTCTCCAAACTGGTCAGGCGGTAATGTCAGGGGATTAGACGAGGCCCATTGACAGGGTGCACTGAGGCATAGGCCAGGCCAGGTAGTGGAGGTGGAGAAGGCGGGCAGGAGGGGAGGAGGGGAAGAGGGAGGCAGATACTTGATCTGGTGCTATTCACAGGCGGATGGTGTACGGATGGTGTACATGGGGCTGGGCCTCATCCAAAAGGGCAGACTCACCCTCACCCAACCACACCCCCTTCTGCTTCTCTCAAGGCCTTCACTTTCTCCTTCTCTGGACCCCTAAGTGCACCTTCACAGCTGGAGGAATAGGACCCCATCCCAGGCCCAGCTCTATTCATCCAAGATGTCTGTCTTGGCAGGGGTTAGTGGTTCTGCCACCCTGTCCAGCCCCACCTCACAGCCCACCTCTCTCCATCTCTCTTTTGGTCTCACCAAAAACTGATGCCTGAAGAATCCTAGCAACTTATGAGTCAACAGACTTGGATTCAAATCCTGCCTTTGTTCATCACTAGTTTTGGCAAGTTACTTAACCCTCTATGAACCTAAGTTTGTTTCATCATCTGGAAACTGGGATAATACCCACCTCCCAGGCTTTCACTGACTCCACCCTCTAAGTGCCTTGACTCCTGCTATGAGGCCCCTCTTGGGTCCCTGAAGTGTTTCCCCAATGGTACATAATGCTTTCTCAGTGTCTTACGATACCACGCTTGAAGCTCAGTCCACATCAGTCACACATCTCCCAGGACACTCAAGCATGACCCAATGCCACCTGGCAGGTCACAGAGTGAGTCCCAGGCCTCAACGTTAAGTTCAGCTGTCCTTCCATCACTAACTATAAATCTTCACCCTCCTTTTCCAGGCAGAGAACAGCACATGCAAATGCTCTGAGGTGGGAGCATGCTCAGCAGTTTTCAGAACACCGAGAGCAGAGATTGATGCTTGGTGAGATATGACACAATAGGGAAGAGCAAACATGGCCTTGCCCTCTCCCACCACCTCCATACCTTTCCTTACTCCCCAGCGCCCTCAGGAGAAAGCTCTCACTCTGTAGCCTGGCCTTTGAGGTCTCAACCCCTGAGTCCCTTGCTTTTCTCACTTTCTGCCTCAGCTGCATAACCTGTTTATAATGCCTGCCTGCTCAACACCAGGCCTTTCTCATGGAATTCTTCCTGTGTAGAAACCTCTCCTGCTTCTCCCTCACCTGACACAATCCTTCTCACGTTTTAAACTTCAACTCAGGTCTTACCTCCTCTGGGAAGTTTTCCCTTCCTCCTCTGCCCCTTCTGGGCTCCCTCAGCATCCCCATTCCCCCTGTCCATTTACTGGTCACCTCACACTGTGATTCTCAGTCCCCCAGTCTCTCTCTCCTGCACGTGACAAGAGGCAGAGCCTTGTCACCTTTACATCCCTAGTGCCAGACCATGCACAAAGGAGACACTTCAGTGAGTGTTGGATGAAGGAAGGAAAGCAGGAGCATGGGGGCTGTGCAAAGCCAAGTCCAGGAGTCTGTTCTGCTGAAAACTAGTTCCTGATCTCAGATGCACGTCTTGTTACTGCCTCTTCTTGATGGGGTGGCAAACTGAAGGCACAGCACGAGTACGCAGAAGAGGTGCCCAGGGCAGGGATCTTCAGGGTGAGGAGCACAGTCTGCTGCATTTGTCTAGTCCATGAGCCTTCACAGCACTGTTCCAGAGGCTGGGGTGTGGAAGGGCTCCTGCCCTCTGGGAGCACACAGCCTTCCTCATTGTCATTGTCACTAACACTTCTTTTTTGTTTGTTTGCTTTGAACCTTTAATGCAAAAAAATATATATCGAGCTCAAGAACAGTGTGGCATGTCACTGGGTCAAAGTTGGGGATACACTTTACAAAATTAACAAACAGGAATATACATAAACAAAGATACACATGGTCACAGTATGAAAAACTGATACCTGGCACTATTAAGTCTCGGTTTCCTCATCACTCAGCAGCATGTTTGGGACCCCGTGGGTGATGTGGAACAGTCGTCCATACTCTGGGCATTGCAGCGTGCCCTCCATCACCTCCACCTCCAGCTGTATGTGGTGCATCTTCCTCAGAAATGTCTCATCTTGCTCATATCCCTGAATCTGCTCTGTGGGCACCCCGCCCAGATGCAAGGTATTGGCCACCTCCTGAAGCACCGCCCACTCCACCTTGGGTACATAGGTGCCACGAAGTCAGATTTGAACTCCATGAGCATGATGCAGACCTCAGAGGCCTGCAGGCTCAGGGGGGAATCCATGGGGTCCCACTCCTTTCACGTGTGAGCTCAGGAAATTGTGGGTAAGCAGCTTCACGTCTCATCAAAACTCTCAAGAAGCTGGAACCGGCATCACTTGAGTGCATTTCTGCACTTGATGACATTTCTTGAGTGCATACTAGAGGCCTGGCATTGTTCTAAGCTGTTTTTGAAAAACTCATGTTTCCTTTACAAAACCCCACAGAGTGGAGAGCACTGTTTTCCCATTGTATAGATGAGGAAACTGAAGCACAGCAAGGTTAAGCAGGGTCACACAGCTAGTAGGGAGCACGTATAGCTAGGGTTTGAATGCAGGCTCCAGAGCCAAGACTCTTTACCATTATCACCATTTCTAGTCTCTAGGAATTGATACTTTCTGGTCCAGGAGCCTTCCCACCATCCTTATCACCCCAGATTCCCTTCAGGGTTATCTGACAAGGGGCTATCATCCCCATTTCACAGATGAGATGCATATGTTACCTGTCACTTTATACCTAGACATTATCTTGTTTAACCCTTGTAACAACACTGGAAAGTAAGTGTGTGGTTATTACCTCTACTTTTACAGATGAAGTTCAGAGGTTCGGTGACTTGCCAAAGGTCATACAGAAAATGAATTGTATAAGCCTTTAACTCAAAACTGGCACCAGTGTCCAAGCTGTTCCCTTCCACCCCCAGATGTAGCTCCTTTGCTGTCCCAATATCTGCACCACTATCTGTCCCCATGCTTGGGGCACATAGCTGGACACCATGAGGACCAAATGGAAAACACAGATCAGATCAGACAGTGTGCTGCCCAATGCACCTATATCCCCACTGGTGTCCTAACCTAGTCCCAACTTGGCCCTTGGCAATCTCTCTGGAATCTAACCCAGCTTCGCTTTTACTCCTGAGCAACCATAGCCTTAACAAGGAGGGCCAGAGGAAAAGGTGTAATGACCCCTGTACCAGAAGCAGAGTCTGATGGGGAGCAGGTTGGGGGCATTGGTTTTAAAATTGGGAGAAAGTGCAATTAGAGCCAGCAGGGCTGTATTCC